GTGTGTATGTGTGTGTGTGTAAATGTTCTTAAATTACTTGACAGTCTAAAAACACAAACTTTTTAGCATAGGAGGAAAAAAATTCAAGAAAAGCTTTTTAAAAATATTTGGGCAATAAGCTTGTTTTAAAATTTTGATACTTTACACCCTGCTCCAAGCTTTTAAAATATTTTATTATTTTCATAATAAATTTAAAACAGATGATTCATATGGCAGAACAGGCTATTTTAAAAATATAATTTTATACTTTTTCTAATATGGACGCTTGCCTGCGATTAGGCTGGCATTTTGTATATCCTAATGAAAGGCAATTCTTGTTTCAAGAATTCCATCAAGAACAGTAGTCGCCTTGGCCACTGCATTTAGAACCCAGGGAACAGTAACACTAACCCTTGGCTCCCAGAAGGGTTACATAAATAATCCATGAATATAAACTTTGTGCATAATGCATAGTACTGCGCTTGAAGAAAATTTCAATGAAGAAAATTGGGCAGTGATTTTCTGTTCACGACTCCACTATTCACAAAGATTTCTAAAATGCAAGTACAGTAGAGCTTCCACAGCTGACCACCTCCCTACACTAGCTACCTCAAGTTAACCTAATTTTCACAGACCAGACATGCACCACCTGTACGTATCAGTACAGTAGGCCTAGTTCCTTAGACTGACCACCTCTGTATGTTGACCAGTTTGTCACAGTCCCCTCAGTAGTCAACTTACAGAGTCCTAGTGTACTTCTTGGCATGTTTTAACTTCTCTATGACAGAACGAAAAGGAAAAGGAGAGGAGGAGAAAAGTGGAAGGGGGAGGAGAAAAGGAGGGAAGAAAAAGAAAATGAGAGGAAAGGAGGAAGGGAAAGGAAGAAGACAGAGGAAGAGAAGACCACGGGTTGGGGAGGGGAGGAAAGGCACTCCCGTGGGTGTGCTGCCCTCTGTGGCACCCCGCCCACCTCCAGTGCTGGGCCAGAAGAGCTGTGCTTGATTCAAGTGTTGGCTCAAGTGATCATGATTACCCTGAAATCACATGTTATATAACAGTGTTTCCAAACTAGACATTTGACAAATACAGCCCAGATGCCTCCAAATATATTAAAAATAATTTCATAAAAAACCGAGAAAATCTGATCACATTTTTGTTTCATCTCAGTAAAATCCAAGGGTATAGAGGTGGGCAGTGGTTCGTTTTCTTCTAGTATATATAGTGCGTGTGAAGCTCATTCTAGAAAATTGAAACGTGTTTAGCTGTTCTTGGTTGTTGCCATTTTCCAAGGCCCAATGATATATGTGTATTGTTTACGAAGCCCAAACTCAGAGACTAAGGATGAAGAATATCACTTACAACTTAGGCTGGAGGGTGCCCACCTGAAACTCTTAATGTGACTGTTTATGGTTATAAGAATAAATATCCAAGTGAATGGGAGAGACAGTTGTTTGGTTTTTGTAAAGAAAGACTCATAGAAAAACTCACAGATAGGGAAGATGAGTGGGGGCTAGAGTAGTCCAGGAAACTGAGGAAGTTCTCAGTGGGTGAGACCATACATACACTAGGACTAGCTGGAGAGGGTGCTGAGAACCCGCCCCCCACCCCACCACCCCCGGCAGCAGTTTGAAATCAGTAGTGCACTCACAGTAACAGGAGAAAAAGTGAGAGGAATAGTCATTTTCATAAATTAGCACTTACTTCCTTCAGGTCTTGGTATGATGGCTCTATTAAAACTATGGAACAGCTAATAAAAGAGAGAAAGGAAAAACAGTATTTTTAACAAATCAATAAAAATCGTTCAAGTAGGTACACTTAGAACTTCGCATATTTTTATAAACTTGACAGCGGTTAATGACAAGAAATGTTAATTTGGTATTTGTCCCTGCTTCCCAGCACAGACATCCTAAATCCTTGTGATTTCCTGAGTAGGAATGTCCTTTGTTATTCATAATGAAGCCACCAGAGCCCACCAGAGTTTATTATGCTAATGAGCTAACTTAGGACAGAAACCCTGGGTAGCCTCAGGATGGGGCTGAACTCCAGAAAGACTAGTGATCGCTAGTGATTCCACCTCTTGGAAAGTAAACTGGAGATTTAGTGCTTTTTTTTAAAGGGGAGCTGAACTCTTTTTCTTCTTTCTTTTAAAGAGATGGGGTCTTATTCTGTTCCCAGGCAATGGCACCATCAGAGCTCCCTGTACCCTCAAACTCCTGGGCTCAAGAAATGCTCCCCCTTCTCAGCCTCCTGAGTAGCTAGGACCACAGGTGCTAACCACTACACACAGCTGAACGTTAAGTTCTAAAAAAAACTCCTAAAGAGTGAGATCTGATGAGCTTCCAGGGGGATGAACACATGGAAGTGCCGGCAGGGTGGAGCACCCAGAGGGCGGGAGCTCCGTGCACACTCAGACCTCACTCCATACCTTGCCCTACATGTATGTCTCTTCCACGCGGCTGTTCCCACATTGCTTCTTTCATAACGTAACAGTGAACATAAGTAAAATGTTCCCCTGAGTTCTGTGAGGCACTCTAGCAAGTTATGGAACCCAAGGAGGGGGTTGTGGGAATCTCCCATTTATAGCCAGTTAGTCTAAAGTATGCATGAAAGACCCAGACTCATGACTGGCATCTGAAGGACAAGTAGTCAGGTGGGAATGAATTCTTCACTTGTGGGATATGACACTGACTCTTGAATTGTAGGGCACTCATCTGGCACTGAAGAATTGGTCCACGCAAGAAAAAGCCCACATATCTGTTGTCAGAGGTATTCGATCCAAGAAAGAGTGTTGTGATTTCCTAGTTTACATACTCTCATATGCTGAGATGCAAAGATAAGTAACAAAAAGGGACATCTCTGAGAGCACGTTCTCTCTTACTGAGGTATGCTAAACTAGCAAAAATAAGATGAATAGGACATGGTTCTTAAGAGACTTATTGAAAGTTTATAGACATCTCAAACACTCAGTTTTATAGCTATAGGACAACAAAGATATGGCTGTATTCTAATCAATAAGATGAAACTCATTTTTGACCACTATTTTTAACATCTAGTATTTACATAAAGAGTGAACCCCTGCCCATAATTTAAATAACTACATCTGAAATAGTAAAGTGATAATTCTGGACAGCCTTTAAGAATTTTAATGCCCACTTTCACAAGGCTTACAAAGCACCTGCCAAAAATACTAGTGTCCCCACATAAACACATAACTGAATATTCCCTTGTCTGTATATCTGAGTTAATTACTTGGCTCTTTACTCCAAAAGAGAGGTTAAATACGTCTGCAAGGTTACACTGCCACATGCCACTTCTCAATAATTTGTCATGTGATCCCCTTGTGCTACAGAAATTTGCTTTCCAATGTATTTGAATCTCTGGGGAGAAATATTCTAGTTAATGCATTGACTTTACTAAAGATTAGTATAAGCTATGTGGAGTCTCAGTAACCGTAAGTGCTCTAAATACTACCAACTCCCAGCTACAACTTTCAAGGACAAATTAGAAATAAATAGAAATAAAACTACAGAGGTTAAATGCAGCTCAGATATGGTAAGATGACACACAAAAAATTCTAACCACTATTTTTTTTTTTTTTGGCGAGGGTAATACACTCCTCCAACCTAGCATCAATTTTTATTTAACTTTTTTAAATTTTCCAATGTGTCACAGAAGTTGCCACTAATGTTGCCATACATAGGGGAAATGGGAAATTGTAGCTAAATGTACTTTTATTTATGAAATATTCATTACAAAATTTTACGAAGAGGTGGTCAATACACACAGAGCATTTTGTAAGCATTTTGTAAAATTCTGTAATGACCATTTTGTTTAAAAAGGTACATTTAGTTACAATATCCTACTTTCCATACATATGGCAACATGAGGGGCAACTTTGGGGACACCCTGTCTTTTTCGGTTCGTTTGGGTTTTTGTTGTTGAGATGGAGGTCTCTCTCTTGCTCAGGCTCTCCTGGGCTCAAGGAATCTCCCACCTCAGCCTCCCAGAACGCTAGGATTATAGGTATGTGAGCCACTGTGCCCAGCCTCAATTTTTTTTTTTATATTGAGTTTTTGTTTCTCAAATGCCAGGTCAAGATGGCTGACCAATGTCCTCATTCCCATTTCCTGTACTCTCACCAAAGTGCTCTCTGTCATCATGAGAAAACTTCATCTTGTCCATTTCACACACTCTGTTCTGAAACCTCTATTTACTGTATATGACCCCTCCTGTACTTAGAAACCATGCTCTTTCCTTTTTTTTTTTTTTTTTACTAATTTCTGCTAAATTGGCAAATGCTTTCCAGATAAGCCCACCTGGTACCTGCACTGGCAGTTTATTTAGACTCATAATACTAGGAGTGGAATGTATTTAAATTGGTTCCTTGACATTTTCTAAAATTTTTCTCACTAAACCCCCAATTCAATATAGGATCTGCCAAATTCTCAACTCCAAAGGCCACTAGTCTACCAAAATAAAAGCAGTGCTTGGAAAGTGGCAAACAGGCTGAATTCTGGTGCCTCTGGATCCATAATCACTACCTTTAAGCTGGGAGGTGCCTGTAGCTCAGTGAGTAGGGCACCGGCTCCATATACCAAGGGTGGTGGGTTCAAACCCAGGCCCAGCCAAACTGCAACAAAAGAATAGCCAGGCCTTGTGCTGGGCACCTGTAGTCCCAGCTACTTGGGAGGCTGAGGCACGAGAATCACCTAAGCCCAACAGCTGGAGGTTGCTGTAAGCTGTGATGCCACAGCACTCTACCGAGGGCAACAAAGAGAGACTCC